GTGCTCATTAAAGATTTGTGAACTGAATGCAGAAATGGGAATGGGATAGAGCTGAGGGGTGCAGACAGGTTTGGGGATGGATTTCCCTTCAGAGCTGTAGTCGGGGATAGAGATGGCTGGTGTGGTCGGGCTAGAGACAGGTTAAGTTTTCAGTACTGTTTTTTTTTTTTGTAGTTTAAGTGAAAGTTTACATTTCAAGTTAGTCTCTCATACAAAAATTTATACATACATTGTAATGTGACCCTAATTACTCTCCCTACACTGTGACAGCACACTCCTCCTTTCCACCCCAGATTTCCCATGTCCATTAAACCAGCTCCTGACCCTCTCTGCCTTCTCATCTTGCCTCCGGACAGCAGCGGCCCGTTTAGTCTCATGTATTTACTTGAGCTAAGAAGCATACCCTTCGCGAGTATCATTTTATGTCCACAGTCCAGTCTAATCTTTGTCTGAAGAGTTGGCCTCGGGAATTGTTTTAGTTCTGGGTTGACAGAGAATCCAGGGCCATGCTTTCCGGGATTCCTCCAGTCTCAGTTGGACCATTAAGTCTGGTCTTTTTACTAGAATTTGAGTTCTGCACCCCACCTTTCTCCTGCTCCGTCAGGGACTCTCTGTTGTGTTCCCTCTCAGGGCAGTCACTGGTAGTAGCCGGGCACCATCCAGTTCTTCTGGTCTCAGGCTGACGAAGTATCTGGTCTATGTGGCCCTTTCTGACTCTTGGGCTAATATTTTCCTTGTGTCTTTGGTGTTCTTCATGCTCCTTTACTCCAGGTGATTGGAACCAATTGATGCATCGCAGATGGCCACTTGCTAGCTTTTAAGAGGGATGGGTTGAGTTTTGAGTGGGGTTGGATGTAGGGGTTAGGGTTAAGTTTAACACTGGGTTTTAGGTTTAGGGTGATCATTCAGAAGCAGAAGAAGCCCCCGGGTGGCACAAACCATTAAGCACTTGACTGCAGCCTCCTCCGGTTGGAGCCCATCCAGTTGCACCTCAGAAGAAAGGCCTGGTGATCTGCTTCCGAAAGGTCACAGCCTTGAAAGCCCTATAGAGTAGTTCCATTCTGCACACATGGGGTCGCTATGAGTAGGAGTCAACTTGACAACAGCTGGCTTTTCTGGTTTTCAGAAACCAGGCACAGCTGGGTGTTGGCCTGGAGTGCATGATCTTTGGTGTAGGCAGTGTTGGGATTGGGGTTAGGATCTGCATTAGGGTCAGGGGCTGGGCTCAGAGCTTACAGCATCAGGAGCTCTCACAAGTAGGCTGGGGGAAGTGGGTCAGGGGTCAAGATTCAAAGGTTCCAAGGCCTTGGTTCTAAGACTGGATCCCACAGACAATAGGCTTGGGGGAGGGGAGGAACAGGCCTTGGCCCCCACCCCCCGCCCCCACCCAGTCTCCCCGCAGCTTGGACCTGTGGTAGTCAGATGGCAGCTGGGCTAGGTCCAAGACCCCTCACCGCTGTTGAACCTCTTCCAGTTCCTTCTCTCTCCTTTTTTAAAATGTAATTTTGTTATTGAGATGCAATTCACATGCCATAAAACTCACCATTTTAAAGTGTACAATCCAGTGGGTTTTAGTATATTCACAAGGCTGCGCAACCATCCCCGCTATTTAATTCCAGAACATTTCCATCACCCCAAAAAGAAACCATACACCCTTCAGCAGTCACTCCCCATTCCCCTCTCCCCGCAAACCTCCCTCCCCTAAGCCACTAATCTACTTTATGTTTCTGTGCATTTGCCAGTTCTGAACGTTTCATAGACGTGGAATCATAACAATAAGTGGCCTTTTGTGGCTGGCTTCTTTCTCTAAGCATAATGTCTTCAAGGCTCATTCATGAGGCTCTTTAAGCCTCAGTCCCAGCATCTGGGAAATGGGGTGGGGACAGCACCAGCAGAGAGGGGAAGAAGGGGGCTCCTGAAGAGTGTTAGCTCTAAGTGAGGAAGTAATGTCCTGCCCCCTTGTGGTGCATGGGAAAACTGCAGCTCCCCGTGCCAAGGTCCCACCCCAAAGACCCCTACCTAGCCCGCAGAGCCCTTGGGGTCACAAAGCTTCCAGAATACCATCCTGAACTCCTTCCTTTTTGCATCTCTTGAGACTCCTTAGGATCCACTTTTCTGAGTAATAATAATAATAATGTCACCCACTTACGAAGTTCCAACCTGACCCCATATGAAGCGCTGTACTTACATATTCTCATTAATTTGTTGATGACTGAAGTTAGTACTATTATTATTCGGGACAGGAAACCACAGTGGTTAAGAACCCAAGTTCTGGAGTTTGGGGCCACTTGGGTTCAAATCCCAGCCCTGCCACTCACCTGTTGTGTGACCTTGGGCACGTGGTTTTTCTTCTTCGGGCCTCAGTTTCCTCATTTGTAAATCGTATTGATAATGATAGCCCCTACCTACTGAGGAGGTAGAAAGAATAAAGTGCCTGGCCCTGGGGGTAGCCTCCAGGAGCCTATGTAGCTGACAGTATTAGCCAGTGGTGTGCTGATAAATGTTTAACAACTAGCTGGGGGCGGGCGGGTGATTTGTAGCATTGGCCAATTTCCATGGTGTAAATATTCCCATCACGGCTGATTCAAGCTACCAAGGTGACATGGCTGAAAGCATTGTTGGGAGGAGATGTGTCCACCATTATTTAGTATTTCCACTGTGCTGATAAGGAGCCCTGGTGGAGCAACAGTTAAATGCATGAAAGATTGGTTTGAACTCACCCAGAGGCTCCAAGGGAGAAAGACCTAGCCATCTGCTCCTGTAAGGATTACAGCCTAGAAAACTCTATGGGGCAGTTCTACCCTGTCACATGGGGTCACTATGAGTTGAAATAGACTCCACAGCACCTAACAACAACAACACCATGCAGATAGAATAGATGTAAATAACCTCAACAGCATAAATAATGGTAAAATGAAGTAACATAATTAAGACTGCTGAGTATTTATTATCTTTATTTCAAATAGGTCGCTGGGTGGTACAAATGGTTTGCACTTGATTCCTAACCTAAAGATTGGCTGTTTCTTCCCAGCGGTCTGTGGAAGAAAGGGCTGGCAATCTGCTTCTGCAAAGGTTAAAAAAAAAAAAAACAACTCTCGCCATGAAGTTGATTCTGACTCATAGGACGGAGCAGAACTGCCCCATAGGGTTTCCAAGGAGCGGCTGGTGTCTTCCAACTGCCGAGCTTTCGTTCTGCAGCCCAGCTTTTAACCACTGTGCTACCAGCGCTCCCTGTAAAGACTACAGCCAAGAAAACCCAATGGAGCAGTCCTACTCTGTAACACGTGGAGTCGCCATGAGTCAGAATCGATTTGATGGCAGCGGAATTGGTTTTAAATATAATTTGTTCAGTCGTGAGTTTACACAAATTAATTTTTAATAATGGCTGTGTTTAACAACCAGCTTCCAAAACTCCTGAGACTTTAACAGTCAGCTCTCATGAGCAGGCTCCAGTGCACTGCTGTTATCATTGCACCCATTTTTAAGAAGGGGAAACTGAGGCTCAGAAAGGTGGTAGGATGGAGGGAGACAGACAGGCGTAGGGCCTGGACTGCATCCCAGGGCTGTGTGGTTCCCGGGGCCAGACCCGCACTGCCATTCTGCCTCTCACCCCGTTCTGGTATACAGGGCAAGGGAGGGCCTCGCAGCACAGTGTGACCTCGGAGAAGCCAGTTGCCCATCCGGAGAAGGGCAACGCCCGATGATTAAACAACTCCACCTGCTCCAGCCCTGCAGATCCTTCCCCTCATTTTATAGACGGGGAAACTGAGGCCCGGAAAGGGCAAGCGCCTGTACCGAGTCACACAGCTGGGCAGAGACGGTCCTCAGAGCCCAGCTAGGGTGCAAAGGAGAGGAGAGGAGGCTGCAGCTCCCAACCTCTGGGTTTGGGGCCCCCTGCAGGTGGGCGGCAGCACTGCTACAGAGGTTGCTCAGGGCCTCTGCAGTGCCCCGCCCAGCACACCATCCCCCCAGCACCCCTTGCCCTCGGTCCGCGAGAGCGAGAACGTCCGGGACCCCGCGGCTAGGGGGAAGGTGGGGCGGGAGTGAGAACCGGCAGCGACGTCTGCCTCGTCCCCGCCTCTGGGGACCCTCTGCCTCTGTGTCTCTGTCTCTCCCTTTATCTCCATTTCTCTTCATATGTCTCTGCGTCTGTGTGCGTCTCTTTCTGTCTCTCCTGTCTGTGGATCTATTTCCCTAATTGTCGCTGTCTGCGTGTCTGTTCTCTCAATGACTCTCTGTATCTCTCACTTTCTGTCTCTTTATGTGTCTCTCTCCCTATGTTTCTCACTCTGTCTTTACGTCTTTTTGTCTCTGTGTACTTCTCTCTCTCTTTTCATCTCTTTGTGTGCGTCTTTCCCTACCTATCTCTCTCTCTCCATCTCTTTGCGCCTCCCTGTCTCTCTCTCTTTGTGTCTCTCTATCTGTCATCTCTCAGTATCTTTCTCTGAGTCTCTGGCGCTCTGCCTCGCGTTTCTCTCGCCTTCTCTCTTTTCCGGTGAGTCTCCACTCTCCTGTGAGAACATGCTCCCCAACAGCGCGCCCGGACCTGCCTCCGCCCCTGGCCG